TCAGCAACTTCATTCCTTGATGAAAATGACTTAGCTAGGGCTCAATGAACTGGACGAAACCCCACCCTACTGATGGGCCAGTCCTGCTAGACCAGTCCAGCCCTGGAGAGAGTGGAGAGTGCAGAGCAGTGAGAGACAGCATCACCCCAAACCATAGGAAGCTGGGTCTCAGGCCACTCACCTAAACACTGAGGCCTGTCCACACACTGAGGGTCAGCATGAATGTCCTCTGAGGGATGTGGGGGGTCTGGTTCCCTCTCAGAGACCTCAGGATTTTCAGTTGTGTTCCCTGTGGCTAGCTTCTGGTGCTGGAGAAGAGCTTTTCTTCGTTTCCGGCGGTAATTTGAAAACCAGTTGTAGACCTGCTCCTCTGACAGGTTTGTCTCTGATGCCAACATCTCCTGCTTTCACATCGTGAGGTTGAGAGGTGGTCCCATCCATCATATCCACAAAGAAAGGGGCCCAAGTCCACCCCAGTCCCTCTGGGGTTGGGGTGTGGTTGTATGATACTGGTCACACAACCCTCAAGGGTAGGACCACATTCAGAAGCAATCCAATTGGTGCAGGGGCCAGTCCCATAGATCAGAAAGACCTATCATCCCAGGCTTGGTTGAGGGGAGCTGCTTCCACCCACACCTGATAGGCATGGCCACTCAAGACCCCTGGAGGGTCATAAGGGCTAGCTCCCTCTTACCCGCTGGGCCTTGTTGGGATAGGTGCTGACGCCTGATGCAAAGTTCTGCAGCTTCTGCTGAACAGCCCTGGGAAAGCTTCGGATCCCCAGTGCCTCCGGACAAAGGTGGAGGGGTGGAGGGTTCCTGGATGAGGACAGGAAGTGGTGGTCTTAGAACCAGACACCAGAAGTCCTCCCCATCCCAGGACTCTCCTCTCTGAGCAGGTAACCGCTAGAGCGCTTCCTTACGGAGCGTCCCTGTGGTCAGTATGGAGAAGACAGCGAGCTCTGTCCACACAGAAATGAAGACTCACAGAAGGAGTTCAGGAGTGCAGGGAGCTTAGCAGTTCAGAGCCTGCCACCCTATAACCACCCTCTGCCCACAGCATGCACCTCCTAAACAGCATCCGGGCTCCAGGTGTGGTCCCAGCTGTTGGTGTGCCTGTCTTCCTGTCTGGCTCCAACTATTCCTCAGGACCAGGGCTGCACCAATATTCAAGGTTTGTCCCCAGATGGTGTTGTGTCCCTGCACATCTACCCAGAGCTCTACAACCATCACTTGCCCACAGCCTGGCCCCAGGATGGAATCCACTTCCCCAGTGCACCTGTCACCAAAAACTCTTAC